ATAAGAATTCAAAATAAAAAATATTCCTGCTTTTCCTCCTGTTCCTACCTATTCTGAGATAGTTATGCTGACTACTGTGACACTATTATCTTCACCTTTCAGTTTGTATCCAGCAACAACTTCTCTGGACCACACTGAAAAGAGGAGTCAGGGCCTGTATTAATACAAGTCTCTGTCTATAAGTCAAGTACTTATATATCCAAAACTATAGTCCTGAAACCATCCGCAGCCTTTCAAAGTGCCTGGAAAACACTAGGCACCTTGGGTACTATCTGAAGTGCATCATGTACTGTCTTGGGTACATAAGAAGTCTGGGGGGAATTAAATGCTTTACCCAAGGCTTTATTTTGACTTTTGCTGGAGGCTGTTTAGTGCAGACAGTTCAGCCCAATCAGAAGGAACACTTGACACCCACATCCCCCCTGTCCAAAGGCCTTGTAGCAAAATATTTATGTTTTCTGGTTTCTCTTTAGCATTCTTCTTTCCTTTGTCTGTATGAAAGTGTCCCTGAACAGCCTGTAGTGAGGAAGTTAGAGCACTCTCACAGCAGAAGCAGCTTGTGGGTAAAGGATGGGAACTTGCATTTTAAAGGAATTCTCTGTGCTTTCAAGAGCAACACAATGTGCTGAGTGAATGTGATGCCCAGCTCTAGCCTTCCAGGGAAGATCCAGAAAGGGTAAGGAGGTCTGCCACAGTTTCATGGCCTGTGATTCCAATGAGTACCTCTGTCTTTAGATCACGTTATAGTCTTTCTCTGATTCATGAATGGCCCCTAGATATCCTGATATAGTATTTTCCATTTATTTGGCCAGGCACTTAGAAGTTAGGTGTTGCCATACCTGATTTTGTAGATTATTTTGCAACTGTACCACTTACAGCTCAGTTAGGCTGTAAGAATTCAAGCCTCTTATTACTCAGCAGGCAAATAATCTGTCTTTGCCAACATCAAAATAACAAAACTATCAAGTTCAAGTAGATGGCAATGTCTCATACGGACTGAGTTATCCCTCCAGCCTTAAAATTGATTCTAAGGCCTCTGTGATAGAAATATATATGTATATAAAAATAATACAATAATTTGAAAGTTTGTCAGCCAATGAAAGGCAGTGTATTTTGACACACTAATCCAGTAACTAATCAGTTTTCTAATAAACAATCAGCAGTACACTAATGTGTCATCAGCACTTCAGGAACTCTGAAGTGGATGATCTGCACATAGACGTTAATGAATACCCCAAAAATCATTAAGTAATCAATACTTCTGAGTTATTTTCATTGAGCTGATAGGCCTGATACATTAAAGCTGACATTTTACATTTGTCAAGATCACAGTGCAGTTTTTAACAGTGGAACAGGCTGCTAAAAAAATTCCATGAAAGACAGTCAAAGAAACACAACTTAAAAGTGTTGATATTTTGGATTGGTACAGTAGCTTGAATGAATGACTCTGATGTCTGTGCTAAATGTTCCTGAAGCAGAACTTCCTTACTAAAAATTACTAGTATGTGAAGAACATTCCACAATTATGCATATCTGTAAATAATCTTTCTTTTCTCCTTTTATTTTCTTTGCAAGCAACTAGATCAGTGACAGTTTGTTATCTATCATTCAGATCAGTGAAGAGAGAAAGATGATTATGAATTAGCTTAGCCCTCTGTTTTCCTCACTTCTCTGAAGGTGAAGAATTAATCATACTGATCATTTTATGATAATCTTCTATGAAGATAAAACATCATACAGCACCTTTAAATCAATGGTGGCTTCTGGAGCGAGCACCGTACAAGAATAATCTGCTGCATTCATATTTGCAACTCATCAAACACTGCTATCTAGTGTTGAGAATGCAAATTAAGGAGGCAGTATTTGGCATGTTAAATACAACAGATTCTCTTTCAGAGTGGGGATAGGGGATTCTTTCCAAGCTAGCAATAACCACCATCCTATCTCCTCCAAAATTCAATGGCTTTGTTCATTTGTTCACATGTTATTTTTGTTGCGGATTATGGTTCTCTAAAGAGGACAGGGTAGAGTGATTATATCAAAGATGGTGAAGCAAACACTAGTGACTCTCATGAGTTCTTGCTCAACACACAGATTTCTCAAATAGTGTGGATGTTATCAGATAATTAAGTAACCACTAACTCTATGTGTTGATTTAAAATGAACCCCACTGCATAGTCAGATCAGACAAAGAGTTTTCTCTTGTTATAGCACTGAACAATTATTGCTTTGTATTTCTCTTCTTCCAATAGGCAATTGTGGGTTTTAAATTAGCAGAAGGTGAAATTCTATTTGTCATCAATTTCTCCTAGGGGTTACAGAGCAGAAAACTGCAGACAAGCTGCTTCTTTGATGGCTTACTCCTAAAAATCTCTTTTTGTTCTTTATCTATTTGAACTGACAGTGATCAGAGCTACAGCAGGACAGGCCTCTCTGGAGAAATCACCTTCCCCCTCTCTATTGACAGATTCCTCTGTTCTGAATCAGACAGGCCTTGTCCCATCATAGGCATCAAGGTCTTGGAAGTAGCCACCAATTAAACCTCTTGAGCCAGTAAAATCTTAAGCCACTTTTGAGTGTCTGTTCTCATTAGGCAGGATGAGACAAAGCCCATTACCCTCCACAGAGCACCTCCCTGGTCTCAATTTTCTCTCTTGCCTTCACCAGGTGCGAGAGGTGTGAGAGGAGCTTCACACAAGCCACCCAGCTGAGTCGACACCAGAGGATGCCCAATGAGTGCAAGCCAATAACAGAAAGCACAGAATCAATTGAAGTGGATTAACTGATTGACTGGTTGGAATTAAACTGCAAGGAAAGTCATGATTAAATGTCACGGACACTTAAGCAAAACCAAAGATTTCCTCTGAGCAACTTTCAATCAGTCCCAGAAAACCAAAAGCAGTAATAAAATAAGTAAGATGTTAAGAGATATTGATCCTGGCATGGAAGTGAGACCAGGAAAGAGATTATTTATTTATGACAAGGGATGAGTCTTATTTCAATTGACAAATTACTTGGGACTGTTAACATTTCAAGTCCCACCATGTATTGCTTTAATTCTAAAAGCCTTTATAATTGTTATTTAATGCCAAAGTGAGGAATCTCAAGGGTTCTTCTGCCCATAGTTATGACTGAGAATGCACATGGACTTGTTTATTGTTGCACCTTTTTTGTAGCATGACTCAAAGGACCCAGATGTTATGCATACATCTGGCTGGGCTGGGCTAAGTTGATCTTGATGTGGCTATAATAGAAATTGTTGTGTGAGTTTGGAAGTGATCAAGAGCTACATCTGGGTCAGTGTTAGTCTCCTTAGACCAAAGGGCATTTCATTTCTATAGCCTCATGCCTCACATTGTGTGCACTTTTTCATGCAGGTAGTTTCATTCAACAGCATTGTGTTGGTATAGATAGTCTGGAAAATAAAAAAGGAAAAAAAAAAGGGGAAAAAAAGGAATGTTATATGTCTGCAAATACACATTATATAAAGAAGCCAGTAGGAAAACTATGTTAAACTAATAGAGCTCTCAAATTCAGTCTAATAGCTATGAAAGACAGAGATGGTAGAAAGTGGTTTAAATGTTTAAAATTCCAGTCTACATGTAGATCTCATTATGAGGAGCAAAAAAACCAAGATGATGCATTTTGTTTGGGTAATTGATTTAATGGCTTGCTGATTTCTAGGAAAACTGATCAGAAATCCAAACCATAGACCACTGATGTTTTTACTCTTGGTTTAGATCAAATTGAAAATGCTCCTGTGTTAGATGAAACTTTCAACATACTTGAGCTGAGCTTCAAAACAAAAACTAAATCTCAACTCAGATACTTTGTTAATGGTTTAGAGGCTTCACAATACTCACTTCATGGATATTTGTCTGTTACCGTCAAGAGTGAAGGGAAGCCAAAATATTCCCAATATCAATGTAAAAACTCAAATGTTGTTACACTAGTTCAATTTAATGATTTCCATATTGGCTTTTTTTCAAGCTTTTATCCTTGATGTATTTCAGATTTCATGATTTTGTCTAATCAAAGAATGGTTTTCACTTTCAGAGATCAGCAGTGTTTGTTTAGATATTGATTATCTCAATGCTAGAGCTGTAGTTTGATAATAATGTTTAAAAAAAAAAAAAAGAAACAAAACACCACCAAGAAGAAGCAAAATTTTAACAGTTCTGAGGTCATGCTATATCATAAGGTAAAACTACAAAATAAATTTATGGAGATTATGGGGATTAAAACAGTTTCATTCAGTTTTGCACAAAAACTGAAGTGCTGGATGGCTCATAAGGGCTCATTTGATTATATTAAATATTTTAAAAACATTTATGGGGATAATTTTAAATATGTAGAGAATTAAGTATTCAATTCTGTAAAGGGCTAGACAGAATCAGCTACAAATGTAATAAATTCAGACCATTTATAAATTCTGTAAAGAGCTCAAGCAGAAAAAAAGCAGAGTAAAACTCAAATACATTTAAAAGAAATTTAAAAACTTAGACATCCTTCATTCAAGGCTTTTGTTTACCATATTGCAGAAACTACACTGCAAAAATCTGGAGTTTCTAAAGCTTTGCAGGGAATTACTTTAGGAGTTACTGTATTTGTGTTTGGCCACTAAAAATGCAAAACATCATAGAAAAAAAAATATATCTTTGTTCTAGCAAGTACCTAACTATCTCATCTATCTCATCATGGGGCAAACTATCTTTGGCCCTGTGAGCTTTTCAGCTCTGTTTCTCGGTGCAGCACTATGTGGAGTGAACAATTCTGTCGTCATTTGCCTGATTTTATCCTTCAAGCTATGAAAGATTCTTAGCTACTGTATAAATGTGTGTGTTTGTTTGTTTGTTTTTAGGTTCAAAGAAGCATGACAAGCTGGGTAGGAAGAATTGTAACTCAAAGGTGACTGTCTGAATATTGTTTTCTTCCTAGCAAGGCTGACCAAATTAAAAAAGCCAAAATCTGATCCTAAACCATTCAGACCTTAATATCTGCTAGTTCACAACTTCCATTATTTAGAAGATTTAATGTAAAGTAACATCTTGATGGGGCACCAGCTTTTGGTAAACATTTGAACAGCTATAGGTCATTTCTGCAAGTAAACAGACATTCTCAACCAAAAAGAAAAAAAAATGCAGAAACAAACAAAAAATAATAAATAAAGTAGGAAAAGAGATATGTCATGCTCTGGAAAATGTGAGCTATCTGTTAGATCACCAACTTGTGTTGCTGCATTATCTAACTCTGCTCTCCTGTTCAGGGGTGTGGTTAGTGGTAGTGCAGAGCACTCAGCCTCATGCAGAAAGGGATTTATGTTTGAATCCTATAATGCAAATAGCACATTAAGTAAGTTCTTCCAGATATTGCAAGTCCCCTGCTGAATATAAGTAGGCTTACTCATATGCTTTTAATTAAACATGTTTCTAAATATTCTCCTGAACGGGTGTGAGGTAAAGATAAATTATTTCAAAAGTATTTTGGATTTAAAAAAAAATGCACCACAGTAGGAATTATGCAGAACTTACTTTTTTTCTTCCAAATAATTATTTCTTGTGTAAATCACAATGTTGTGCCAGATGTCTAAGCATAATTTCAGTTGTGTTATTTTATACGTGGCACTTTCACAACAGATTTGGCAGCATACAAAAGTAATTCAGTGAAAATCTATGATTTCACAGTGACTTTTACTCAAGTACAATATTTGGCATTTTGTTACAATATTGCAAATGTAAAACTAATATGAACAAGCTAAAATACATCCTAGGTTTGGACTAAACAGAATCTAGGTCCTATCTGCACTTCTCAAATGCTGAGTGAGCTTCTTGTTCATATATCAAAAGAATAAAAATAAATTTAGGTCTATTATGAATACACAATGTGTAGTACAATTATATTTAAATGTAGTGATTATGTGCCTGCCATTTCAGAATTTCTGAAGCATTTGGCATCTCTGTTTTGTAGTCTGGTAAATAAATACAAGCTTGTTTTTGGTTTTGTTTTGTTTTGGATTGGTTTGGTTTGGTTTTTTGGTTTTGTTTTTCTTTTTTTTGTTTTGTTTTGGGTTTTTGGTTTTTTTTTCCCCCAATCCTGAACACATTGGAAGTCATATTTGAAAACTGTGCCTAGTTCTGATTTTTTTCAGTGTGGAATCAAATTTTATACATTCATAGAGTTATTTCTTTCAGAAAGACAATAGGTCCTTTATGAACCTGCAGTCATAGACCCCAAATATGATCTTTTAAAATACAGTTTTATTGTTTTCCCATGAAAGAAAGCTGAGATGAGAATAATGTAATAATTACAACACATTACATACTAGAAACTTACAAGCAATGAAGTGTATGTCTTTTCTTTTGGTAACATCATCTCTCCTTCTAATTACTATTTATTATTTGTATGGTGCCACTACATTATGTGATGCTGTCTTATAGCTGACAAAATTATGTGCTTTCAGATGAATGAATAGGTGAAAGTCCAAAAGTAAATCCTCATTGCTTTTGAGAGTCATCAATTGCTATGATTTTTTTTTTATTACAGTTGGAGTATTCTTCTATTCCATTGAAGTCCTTTCTGTAGATAAGACTCCATAAAATAAAATATTCTGGGACTGCATGAAGTCTTTTTAGAATATTTTGTCTAGATTTTGGAAGTTTTGACATCATCAAGCCGATCTGAAAAAGTGCATAAACCCACCCAATAGATGTAGAGTATGCTGAAGGGGTCCTCTGTTGTAATAAAAATAATAATGACATTATAATTAGAAAGGTAAACAGCTTGCTTGCTTTTTTTAACCTTCATAAAATTGCATCTTTTTTACTGTAAAGGACCAATTAAGTCATGCATGTAGCTGTATTCTTGTGACATCAACTGTAATGATTACGTTGTGTTAAAATGAAAATAACAGGGACACATTTAAAAAGAAGACAAAGAAATGTAAATATATTTGATTAATTAAACATTTCTATTACCGTATCCTAAGCCTTTGTTTTATGTTAACATTAGATATGGAATTTGTGCATACTGTGCAGAAACACAAATATGCTTAAATGCATGTGCATTGAAGGCAGCCTCAGAGAATCACTGTGCTTCACTCTAGTTTTCATTATGAGCTTCCAAAACTGATTTGCAGCTCAGGTGTGGCAAATCATTGCAAAATGATTTGCAGTGAGAAAAAGGGGAGATCAAGTTCAGTTTTCTTGGTGACTGGGTCTCAATATTCCTATTGAAGTAATGCTGAGGGCACACTGCAGTCATACGCTCAAACAATTTCTCAACCGTGTCATATCATGTCATATCGTAACCAAGTTTTTCTATTCTGCATACTACAATGTGGTTTTTTTACGGTTGATGTCAGAATCGTCTTTAGTTACCTGAATCCTGATTTACAAGGATCACCATCTAGTGGACTAAGACAGAATTTCGAAACTCCAGTTGACGTGATGTCTGAGTTAATTTTTAAAAAATCATTCTAAATGCAAGGCTAAACGCACTAGCCATGCTCCACTGCAAGGGACCTTCACTGCCTTTTTAGACGTTATTTCACTGTCATTGTGTATGTCAAAGAGCAACGATTAGTTCACTAAGTCACCCTTTGTTCCACTTGAAAAAATACCACTTGAGTATGAGAAAAATATGTCAGTTTCTGTCATTTTTCATGTTATATGACCTTTTACATCAGCACCAGAACCACCACGGTAGAATATTTGTGCAAAACTACTGTACTTGAGAAAATACTCAGGTAAATTGGCCAGCAGACTGCCTGCTGGTTTGCAAGTA